TGGTAAGGAAGAAGTAAAACTGTTACTATTTACAGCCAACATGATAGTATATATAGAAAACCCCAAATACTCCACCAAAATCTATTAGAACAAATAACTGAATTCAGCAAAGTTGCAGTATACAAAATCAATATACAGAAATCCGAATAGAAAATACACTAACAATGAATTAGCAGAAAGAGAAATCAAGAAAACAATTCCATTTATGATTGCATCAAAAAGAATAAAATACCTAGGAATAAACCTAACTAAGAAGGTGAAAGACCTACTCTGAAAACTATAAGACATTGATGAAAGAAACTGAAGAGGACAAAAATAAATGAAAAAGATACTCCATGTTGCTGATAATCAGGGAAATGCAAATCAAAAGCACAATGAGATATTACCTCACACCCGTCAGAATGACCACTATCCAAAAGACAAGAAATAACAAGTGTTGGCAAGGATGTGGAGAAAAGGGAACCCTCCTACACTGTTGGTGGGAATGTAAACTGGCGCAGCCACTATGGAAAGCAGTATGGAGGTTCCTCAAAAAACTAAAAGTAGAAATACCATATGGACCCAGTGATTCTACTTCTAGAAATTTACCCAAAGGAAACAAAATCTGTGATCCGAAAAGATATATGCACCCCTATGTTTATTGCTGTGTTACTTACAATAGCCAAGATATGGAAAAAGTCAAAGTGTCTGTCAATAGATGAATGGATAAAGAAAATGTGGTACATATACACAATGGAATATTATTCAGCCATTAAAAAGAAATAAATCCTGCCATTTGTAACAACATGGATAGACTTAGAGGGTATTATGCCCAGTGAAATAAGCTCAGTGAAAGAAACATTGTATGATTTCACTTACATGTGGAATCTAAAAACAAAACAAAAGAAAATGAGCAAAACATTAGACTCATAGACACTGAGAAGTGACTGGTGGTTACCATAGGGGAAGGGGTGAGGTGTGAGGATAAGGAAGGGGATAAAGAGGCACAAAATCTCCATCATAATATAAATTAATCATGGAAATGAAGTACAGCATAGAGGATATAGTCAATTATTTTGTAACATCTTTCTATGTTGACAGTAACTTCACTAGTTAGGGTGAGCACTTAATAATGTATAAAATTGTTGAGTCACTATGTTGTCTACTTGAAATTGATAAAATATTGTATATCTGCATTTCAATAAAAAAATCAGAAAATAAATAAAATTAAAAGGAGATGGTGTAAGGAAGAAATATAAGGATCACTTCTGGGTTTCCAGGATTGATATCTTTTAGATTTTGGAAGACAGAAAAGGAAAGTAATTTAACATTAGCCAGAAAAGCAAAATTAATACTCAGGATGTTCTAGATTTTAGTATTTTACTATCTGTTTATCCAAAACTCATTGTATTTGCTTCTTAGGGTGCTGTAACAAATTACCATAAACCATGTGGCTTAAAACAACAAAATTTATTCTCTCATATTCTTGGGGCTAGAAATCTGAAATCAGCAGGGCCATGCTCCCTCTGAATGTTCTAGGGAAGAATTCTACCTTGCTCAATCCCTAGCTTTTGATAATTCTTGGCAGTCTGCCTTGTAGCTGTGATCACTCTGATCTCTGCCTCTGTCTTCACACAGCCTTCTCTGTATGTCTGTGGCATCCAAGATGACTTTTTTTGGTATCATTAATATACAATTACATGAGCAACACTGTGGTTACTACATTCCCCCCATTATCAAGTCCCCACCACATACCCCATTATAGTCACTGTCCATCAGCATAGTAAGATGCTATAGAGTCACTGCTTGTCTTCTCTGTGCTATACTGCCTTCCCCATGTCTCCCCCCATATTATGTGTGCTAAACATAATGCCCTTTAATCCCCTTAGCCCTCCCTTCCCACCCACCCTCCCTAGTCCCTTTCCCTTTGGTAACTGTTAGTCCATTCTTGGGTTCTGTGAGTCTGCTGCTGTTTAGTTCCTTCAGATTTTGCTTTGTTCTTATTCACCGCAGATGAGTGAAATCATTTGGTACTTGTCTTTCTCCACCTGGCTTATTTCACTGAGCATAATACTCTCTAGCTCCATTCATGTTGTTGCAAATGGTAGGATTTGTTTTCTTCTTATGGCTGAATAATATTCCATTGTGTATATGTACCACATCTTCTATATCCATTCATTGACTGATGGACACTTAGGTTGCTTCCATTTCTTGGCTATTGTAAATAGTGCTGTGATAAACATAGGGGTGCATATGTCTTTTTGAAATTGGGCTCCTGCATTCTTAGGATAAATTCCTAGGAGTGGAATTCCTGGGTCAAATGGTATTTCTATTTTGAGTTTTTTGAGGAACCTCCATACTGCTTTCCACAATGGTTGAGCTAATTTACATTCCCACCAGCAGTGTAGAGGGTTCCCCTTTCTTCACAACCTTGTCAACACATCTTGTTTGTCTTTTGGATAGTGGCCATCCTAACTGGTGTGAGGTGATAATCTCATTGTGATTCTAATTTGCATATCTCTGCTGATTAGCAATGTGGAACATCTTTTCATGTGCCTTTTGGCCATCTGAATTTCTTCTTTGGAGAAGTGTCTGTTCAGATACACTGCCCATTTTTTAATTGAACTTTTTACTTTTTTGTTGAGGCACATGAGCTCTTTATATATTTTGGATGTCACCCCCTTCTCGGATATGTCATTTATAAATATATTCTCCCATACTGTAGGATGCTTTTTTGTTCTATTGATGGTGTCCTTTGCTTTACAGAAGCCTTTTAGTTTGATATAGTCCCACTTGTTCATTTTTGCTTTTGTTTCCCTTGCCCGGGGAGATATGTTCATGAAGAAGTTGCTGATGTTTATATTGAAGAGAGTTTTACCTATGTTTTCTTCTAAGAGTTTTATGGTTTCAGGACATACTTTCAGGTCTTTGATCCATTTCAAGTTTACTTTGTGTATAGAGTTAGACAGTAACTCAGTTTCATTCTCTTACATGTAGCTGTTCAGTTTTGCCAGCACCAGCTGTTGAAGAAGCTGTCATTTCCTCATTGTATATCCATGGCTCCTTTATTGTATATTAATTGACCATATATGCTTGGGTTAATATATGGACTCTATTCTATTCCACTGGTCTATGGGTCTGTTCTTGTGCCAGCACCAAATTGTCTTGACTACTGTGGCTTTGTAGTAGAGCTTGAAGTTGGGAAGCAAGATCCCCCCTGCTTTATTCTTCCTTCTCAGGATTGCTTTGGCTATTTGGGGTCTTTTGTGATTCCATATGAATTTTAAAACTATTTGTTGCAGTTCATTGAAGAATGCTGTTGACATTTTGATAGAGATTGCTTTAGGCAGGATGGCCATTTTGACAATATTAATTCTTCCTACCTTGGAGCATGGGATGAATTTCCATTTATTAGTGTCCTCTTTAATTTCTCTTAAGAGTGTCTTGTAGTTTTCAGGGTATAGGTCTTTCACTTCCTTGGTTAGGTTTATTCCTAGGTATTTTATTCTTTTCGATGGAATTGTTTTCCTGATTTCTCTTTCTGCTAGTTCATCGTTAGTGTATAGGAATGCAACAGATTTCTGTGTATTAATTTTGTATCCTGCAACTTTTCTGAATTCAGATATTAGTTCTAGTAGTTTTGGAGTGGATTCTTTAGGGACTTTTATGTGCAATATCATGTCATCTAAATCCAGGATGATTTTATCTTTTGCAAACATGGTCTATTTCCAAATAAGATCATATTCTGAAGTTTCAGGTAGACATGAATTTTTAGGGAACACTATTCATCTCATCACCATTATTTTTATTGAATTTATTTTGCTGGTTATTATCATAATCATAAGCATTATTATCATCAACACTACTATTATAATTATCCTTATTTAGTACCTGTTAGGCAAGAGGCACTTCTCTAAGATCTTAATATATATTTGTGCCAGAGGCCACAAATATTTGGAGACCTTAAGCTCACACCCAGTTTGCCAGGAGGTCTCACATGATTCAGCAGTACTCAAGACTATGATTTACTACAATGAAAGGACACAAAGCAAAATAAGCAAAAGGAAAAGGTGCTTAGGGAAAATCCCCAGGAAGCTAGGTACAAATTTCCAAGTAGAATCACAAAGGACACACTTAATTCATCCAGCTCTGAACATGACAATACATTAGAAGGGTTGTCTACCAGAGAAGCTCAGTAGAAACTCAATAACCAAGTGAGTACCAAAGGCTGATCATGTGGACATTGTCTTCCCAGCACATACCCAAATCCCAGACTCCCGGAGGGAAAGCTGATGTTTAGTATAAACTATGTTGTGCAAATACTCTAGGTTCACAGTAAGTCACTTTTATCAGAGAGTAGAGAAGACACTCCTGAAATTCAAGTTCCTAGATGTCAGCCAACTTAGCAGGCCTTTCTAAGAGTTACAGTCTCAGACCTATTATGTTAGCTCTTTTATACAAATATTATTTCATTAATCCTCAAACAATTTAAGATTCAGTTAGTTTAGATAATGTTTCCAAGATTTTACTTAGTAGTAAACTGAGAAACTAGGATTCACAAGTAGGCAATCAGATTGTGGATCTCTACTCTTATCCACTATGCGTGGCTGCTTGGTGTTTGAGGAATTAACAAAATAAAAAAAGAAAAAGGTATAATAGACTCATACTGGAGAGAAATGACAAAACCAAGTAGCAAAAACATTAGTCTTTAAAGAATATTGTAAAGTGAATAATAAAGTAGCCATTATATATCAGAAACTCAATTAAATCATGGGCTAAACAATTTTGTAGACACTTTCATACACCTTTAATGCCTAAGAAAAACAAAATTAGCAGAATATTTGCAATTTTAACACTTTAAGAAGATTAAAAAGAGGTAAGGTTTTAGCTAAATTAACATATCAAGGGACTGTAAGATTTACTTCTACCTCTGTGGAGAAATAAAAAATAAAAGCCAAAAGAGTACATATATGTGCTATCACAGAGGACTCCGTATTAGGATTATTTTTGTTTTATTTTACCTAATGGAGTGATGTCCTGAAGTATAGTCCAGTTTTCCAAATTTCTGTGTTCGGTAGCCATGCTTTTCCATGACATCCATCCATGTTGTATGATTTGGATCTAGGCCCTTAAAGTTATTCCAAGATTCTGTTAAGTGAGTGAAGAGGCCACTCCACATTGCTGGGGGATTAAAAAGAAATTGGGATTAGTGTAAAGTTTAACAATCTGTTTTAACTATTAAGACAATTACACCAAGAGAGAAAAGAGTCTACTCATTTAGAGCTAATGCTCTGGAATAAGATAGCTGCATTGAGTGCGTGCTTTACCTAACATTTCTGATTGTTACCTCATCAAGGGGAAAACTCTGCAAGGAGTTACTATTTCCAATTTAAAGGTGAGTCTTTAAGGCCTACAGGTTAAGTTGTTCAAGGTAAATACAGCTGGAATTAAACATAAAGCCTGTCTGATTCTAAAGTCTTATTTCAATCCTAAAAATAATAGCTAAGTATTTATTAGCTCATTTTCCAAGTCAGCCAGTTTGGGTACAGATCTCATTTCCTCCACATCCTGAAGGATTTTCCCTATTCCTTGTCCTTGTGCTGACTTCCCACAAAAAATTTAAAGGTACTATGTCTTCTCTCTCATTTTCTACAACTCTGATTATTTGTTCAATAAATCCTTTTTCACACATTAACAGACCTAAAGGGAGAAACAGACAGCAATACAATAATACTAGGGGACTTAAATACCCCAAACAATCAATAGATCAATCAAAATACTTTCAACAATAGATAGATCATTCAGGCAGAAAATCAATAAGCAAGCATTGGACATAAACTACATGTTAGACCAGATGTACTTAACAGACATTTACAGAACATTCCATCCCAAAACAATAGAATATATAGTCTTTTTATGCACACATAGAACATTCCCCAGGATAGATCATATGTTAGGCCACAAAACAAGTCTTTATAAATTTAAGAAGATTGAAATCATATCAAACATCTTTTCTGACCACAAAAAGATGAAGCTAGTAGTCAATTACAAAAAGAAACTGTAAAATTCACAAATATGTAGGGATTAAACATGTTACTGAATAACCAATAGGTCAAAAAGAAATCAAGAGAAATAAAAAAATATCCCATGCAAATGAAAATGTAAATAAAGCATACCAAAACTAATGGCATGCAGAAAAAGCAGTTCTAAGAGGTAAGTTTAAATTGATAAATGCCAACATTAATAAAAAAGACAAGGCTTAAATGAACAACCTAACATTATATCTCAAGAAAAAGAAGAACAAATTAGTCCCAAAGTTAGTAGAAGAAAGGAAATAATAAAGATCAGAGTGGAAATAAATTAGACACTAAAATGACAAAGATCAATCAAAGTAAGGGTTTTTTTTTTGAAAAAATAAAAGAGATGAACTTTTAGATACATTTACCAAATAAGAAAGAGATTCAATAAAATTAAAAATGATACCAGAGAAGTACAGAGGATCATAAAAGACTGCAAGGAATAATTATATGCCAACAATTTGGAGAACTTAGAAGAAATGGGTAAATTCCTAGAAACATACAACTACCAAGACTGAATCATGAAGAACAGACTAATTATGAGTAAGGGGATTGAATCAGTAATCAAAGACCTCCAACAAAGAAAAATCCAGGATCAAATGGCTCCACTGGTGCATTGTGCCAAACATTTAAAGAATATTTAGTGCTAATATTTCTAAAACTTTTCCAAAACAGAAGAGAAGGAAACACTTCCAAACTCAATTTAGTATTACCCTCATACCAAAACTGGACAAGAAAACTCCAAGAAAAGAAAACTACAGTCAATTATCTGATGAACATAGATGCAAAAATTCTCAACAAAATATCGACCAACTGAATTCAACAATACATTAAAAGGACTCTACACCATGTCAACTGGGATTTATTCCAGGACTGCAAAGATGGTTCAACACCTACAAATCAATCAATGTGATACACTACATTAACAAAATGAAGGATAAAAATCATATGATCATCTTAATAGATGCAGAAAAAGCATTTGATAAAATTCAACATCCATTCATGATAAAAACTTCCAACAAACTGGGTATAAAATAAACATACCTTGGTATAGTAAAGGCCATATATTATGGCCCACAGCTAATATCATGCTCAATGGTGAAAGGCTGAAAGATTTTTCTCTAAGTTGAGGAAAAAGATAAAGACTGAACTCTGTCACTCAAAGGTGCCCACTCTCACCAATGTTATTCAATATAGTACTAGAAGTCCTAGCCAGCACAATTAGGAAAAAAAAAAATCCAAATCAGAAAGAAGTAAAACCATCTCTATTTGCAGATGACATAATATTTATGTAAAAAAACTCTATAAAGACTCCACCAAAAATCTGTTAAAACTGATTAACACATTCAGTAAAGTTGCAGTATACAAAGTCAATATACAAAAATCAGTTGCATTTATATATACTAATAACAAACGATAAGAGAAATGAAGAAAACAATCCCATTTACAATTGCATCAAAAAGAATAAAGTATCTAGGAAAAAATCTAATAAGGAGGCAAAAGATCTGTACACTAAAAAGCCTTAAGACACTGATTAAAGACATTGAAGAAAACAAAAATAAATGGAATGATATTTCCATACAGATTCAATTCAAACCCTACCAAAATTCCAATGGCATTTTTCACAGAAATAAACAAGCCTAACTTTTGTTGAGTAGATCCTGAATAGCCAAAGCAATCTTGAAAATGAAGAACAAAACTTGAAGGCATCACACTTTCTGATTTCAAACATTACAAAGCTATAATCATTAAAATAGTGTGTCACTGGCATAAAAACAATCACATAGACCAATAAAACAGAGAGCCCAGAAATAAACCCATGCATATGTAGTCGATTAATTTACAATAAAGGAGCCAAGAATATACAATGGGGAAAAGACAGTCTCTTCAATAAATGGTGTTGGGAAAACTTGATAGCTATATACAAAAGAATGAAACTGGAACCCTATCTTACAAAAATCAACTCCAAATGGATCAAGCACTTGAACATGAGGCCTGAAACCATGAAACTCCTAGAAGAAAACACAAAGGTAAGCTTATGACATCAGTCTTGACAATAATTTTTTGGATTTCATACCACAAGCAAAGGTAAGGAAAGCAAAATAAACAAGTGGAACAACTAAAAAGCTTCTGCACAACAAAGGAAACCATCAACAAAATGAAAAGGCAAACTACTGAGTTGAAGAAAATATTTTCAAAATAATCTATCTGATAAGAAGTTAATATTCAAAATACATAAAGAACTCATACAACTGAACACCAAAAAACAAAAACAAAAACAAAAACCAGATTAAAAATGGGCAGAGGAACTTTTTCCAAAGAAGACAGAAATTGCTAAAAGGTACATAAGAAGATGTTCAATGTCATTAATCAGGGGAATGTAAATCCACACTGCAGTGAGATATCACCTCTCAACTGTTAGAATGGCTACTATCAAAAAGATGAGATAAAAGTATTGGTGAGGATGTAGAGAAAAGGGAAACCTTGTGCACTGTTGGTGGGAATGTAAATTTGTGAAGCCATTATGAAAATAGTACGGAAATTCCTCAAATAATTAGAACTACCATGTTCTAATTCCATGTCTACCCAGCAATTCCATGTCTGGAACTATATCTACAGGAAGCAACATCACTACCTCAAAGACACATCAACACCCAATGTTCATTGCAGCATTATTTACAAAATCCAATACATGGAAACAACCTAAGTGTCCATTAACAGTTGAATGGATAAAAAAAAGTGATGCAAGATACACACACACACACACACACACACACACACACACACACACACACATACAGGAATATTATTCAGTCATAAAAAAAGAAAACTCTGCCTTTTGCAACAACATGGATGGACCTTGATGGCATTATACTAAATGAAGTAAGTCCGAGAAAGACAAATAGTGTAAATAGTGTATGATCTCACATATATTTGGAATCTTAAAAAAACTGAACTTAGAAACAGACCAGATGGTAGTTGCCAGAAACAGGAGTTGAGATAGCAGTAATGGTTTAAGGTGGTGGAAATGTATAAACTTACAGTAATCAGACAGTAAATTCTAGGGATGTATTATACAGCATGGTGATTATAGTTAACACTAATGTATTATGTATTTGAAAGTTGCTGAGAGAGTAGATCTTAAAAGTTCTCATCTTAAGAATAAAAAGTTTACATGAGGTGATGGATGTTAACTAAACTTACTGTGATGATCATTTCAAAATAAACATCAAATCATTATGTTGACACCTTAAACTAATACAGTGTTATATGTCAATTCTATCTCAATAAATTGGGGAAAAAGTCCTTCTTTTTCTTTTCCCATTTGTGTGTACACATAGTAGAGTTGAATCAGTTTTCTCATCTAACAAAATGCTTTCTTTTTGTTAGGAGGAGTGGGATAGGGAATTACCTGGTTTGAATCCCAATAATGTCAATTATGGAGCAGCCTTTGGTAAGTTACTTAAGCTTTTAGTACTTTAGTTTTCATCTGCAAAGTGGGGATAATAATAATATCCACTTTTAGGAAATGTGAGAATTAGATAAATTAAGACATAAGAATATTGCCAGGCACATAGTAAGAATACAATAGATGTTCGTTTTTATTACCATTATTCCTTCTCTTAGTTTAAACTCTTCAAAATATACTTCTGAAAGAACTATCATCTAGCATTTTGAAACCTTTAGAAATCACTGAGCTCTTTTCATTCATTATTGCATTTGATGCTGGGAACAGCCTGTGAGGTACACAGCATATCCAGCATTTTGTAGATAAGGAAACTGCTTGACATGGCCCACTAAGGATTAGAATCCAGGTCAGCAACTAACCCTACTCCACTGCTCATTCCACTTGCTCAATAAAGAACAAAAAAAGTAACAAAACTGGTTTTTAATATACCTCGTCCTTCATCATTGAAATATTTGTAATATAGTTTAGGTTTCTTCAATCATTAGTGATTATATAGTTAAAAACATAGGGGAAAGAACCTGTGACTCAAATCACAGAGAATATCATGTCAGGAACTTTCAGACAAAAGCAAACTGTTGGGTGCTGTTTATGGGTTCCAAGCAATCACAGATTAGGGTAAAAGGAAAATAACTCCATCAGAGAACAGACAGAATTTATAAAAATTGTAGTTTTTCCCTGTTTCTCAATTATTCAAGTCTCACTATCACTGAATTTTGCCACTAAAACTATACCTATTTGTTAATTTACTATAATAAAAATGAACAATTTGGTTTGGGTTATATAAGTGAAATGAGACTGAAGAGCAAGATAAAGCATGTAATCTGGAATAATATGGAAAAATTCAGATAAACCTGATGTATGAGAAGTTCTCACTACTTTGTGGCATACTCTGAAGTCCCCTCCCAAGTTCCTATACTCTTACTGAAAACTTTCCTTGGAAATAGAATTTTTCTAGGAAATATGAGTACTTCCTCATTTGCTTGGACAGTCAAAAGAATCTTAGTCACCAATCATAAGGAAATGAAACATAACACTTGAACTAAACACCATTTTAGATGGTAAAAATTCTTACTCTTGAAAAATAAACTAGAAATTCTAATAACCCCAAAACCCAAGACATACCTTAAAACACACATCATTCATATTAAAAAATTTTTAATTAGATGACAAATATGATTTACAATCTTACTTTTGCGTATAATCTTTTAAATTGTGAGAATATACTCAGTGTGGGTGGCCACTTCCATTAATATTAAGCATGTTCCTACCTGCGCGTGATGGACAACAGATTGGAGAATTTGTGTAGGCATTCAGAAAGGAAGTGCCATGTGCTTTCATGAAGTTGATAAAAGGAAGTTTCAGTACCTGAGTTCCTGGATAAAATGTTAGCCTTCCATCCTGAAATAAAGAAATTTAATTAACATTGGTTGTACCACAAAATAATATTATTTCATTTTGTTTTAACCATTTAAAGTTCACAAACAGCAAAAGACTTCAGTATGATCCTAAGAATCCTCAAAAGTTCAAAAGACGTATAGAGACTGTTATCAGTATTGGGCTCATAATACTGAGAATTCAATGTAGTACTCTATTTGGATTCATTTGAATACAGTAAAAAAACTAATGAGCATCCCAAAAAGCTCTTCTGGGGGATGACGGACTGAACAAATATTCACTGAGTTATTTATTATGTGCCAAGCACTGAAAGATCTGGAGAAACAATGGAGAACAGAGCAGAGTCCCTGAGCTTACAGTTTGGTAGAGGAGGCAAAAAGTATACTGTTAACTAAACCATGAACAATTAAAAATTTAATATGTGCTTTGAAAAAACCTGGGATACACAATAACAAGGAAGACCTACTTTAGATAGAGTGGAAAGGGAAGGCTTCTCTGGCAAGTATGAGACCTAAAGAATGAGAAGGATCCAGCCATTCATAACTTAGGAACACGTAAAGTTAGAGATACCTGCAAGACATAAGTGGAGATATCGTTAGGTAGCTAGATAAATGAACCTGAAGAGAAGAAAAGTTTGGGTAGGATATATGCATTTTGGAATTGAATCAAACAACTCCCCTTAGTAAAGGGCAAAGGCAGAAAAAAGAATATTCTAGTTTTGGGGGTATATCTGTTTTCAATATAAATATAAATACTAAATCAGTGAGTTTTTTAAATGAGCCAATCCAAAATATAGGATATACATAAACTCTTGAGATGTCTGAAATTTCCAAATGAATATATGAAGTAGGCTATTGGGTACAGACTGGAATCTGGAGCTCAGAGAAGTCTATGCTGGTGAAAAAAACTTGGGAGTCTTCAGCATACTCATGATATTGAAAACTGTGAGTTTGAATGAAACCTTTTAGGGAGAGAGTGAACAAAGAGGAAGAAAAGGAACTGAGGAGTCCCAAATAAGGGCAGAAGGCAGCATGGGACACTGAGAATGGCCAGTGAAGGACAAAGATACTGAGTGATTGAGTCCCACAAAAGCCAAGAGAAGACAGTGTGCCAAGAAAGGGGTAATGTCACTTGTGTTGAGAGGGTATCTAAAACAAAGACAGCAAACGCACATTAGAACTTGTAGTATGGAGATAACTGGTGATGTTGATAAGAGCATTTTCAGCAGAGTGGTAGGGATGGGCAGCTAAACTGGAAAGAGGAAGAGAATGGGAGGTGAGATAGCAGGGGAAAAATGCCTGACAAGTTACTGTTTTGCAAAACAGAAAAATGGGATGGATGTTAGAGAATGGAGTGTTAGCTGGAGGAGAATGTGGGATTAAGATCAGGTTTTATTTATAGAAAGAAAATGAGAGCATGCCTGTATCTCAAAATAAACAACCACTCCTAGCAGAAGTGATCACTGAATGCTGAGCAAATTACTGATTTCCTTAATGAGAGCTGGGAAGCCCAAGACAAAAGTGCATATTCTCCCCGCAGAGGAATTTCTCCAAATGCATAAATTTAAACTCCTGGAAACTTACTTACACAAATCCCAAATGCCTATGTGTCTTAGTCTTACAATTTTTTGGACATAGGAGATAATAACATTTGTGGCCACTGATTGGAATCTAAACAACTAATGAGGGAGGGATGGAGAAGGAGGCAAAAGCACTGTGCTGCCACACAACTCAAATATTGAGGCTTGGACTCCAAATCCTGCACAGGCAAGGTTCCAACTGGTATAACTACCACTGCAAATGGCTACTGCAACACGTCAGTAGCTCATGCAACAGATTAAAATCCATGCTTGTGACTTCTTGACTCATTTCTGTGACTGGTGCAAGGACTTCATCTGTACTGAAAGCAGGTTAGAAAGCAAGAATCCAAAGTGCAGAGCAGCAAGGATGGCAGGAGAGGGAGGCATAACTGCCCCCACTGGGTAAGTTTCTAACATGGAATGTATGAAAGGTGGTCTACGTCAAGATTATTGTCTGAGATATGTAAGGTATTCAATAAATATTTCATGAATGAAATGAAATGAATATCTAATCCAGAGCTGTTCTATTTATAAAGAAGGGAAATTTGGCATGCTCAAATTCAACAGTTAATTTTTGCAAAGCTTAATAAACCTGCATTAAGTCCATCAGTGTGGCAAGATTTATATTTGATTAGGTCCTCAGGAAATATTTAAATTATGTTACACATATTTGAAATGTCAAAAGCATACCAAAATACCCTTAAGTGACGATGAAGATATCATATTAAATATTTTCTAGAAGTTTTGGTTAACTTTATGTAGTTTTTACATATTAGCCAATAATTTTAAAAATAGGCTACTGCTGGTACCACTGATAATGATGTCAGTGGGAGATGGTCCACATAATAGTTAACTCTGAACTGAAATGGATCTTAAAATGGCTAGCTGATGAAAAACACAAGAGAGATTAACTGTCCATAGTATGGTAATGTGGTTTAGTAGTCAATAATAGGTCTAAGTACAATTCTATCAGATTTAGTTGGGAGAGAAAAATCTTGCAGAATAGCTTTCAGGATAATTTCCATAATTTACTCATAGTCCATTTCAGTTTCTCAAGGCCATTCCTGTGGTTCAAACAAATTAAATACTACTAACATTGGGTAATTAAAAATACAAAGAGGCCCATTAAATGGCTTTCTGCATAAAAGTGACAAATGGTATCAATTGTCTTAACTTTTGCATTATGTTATTATTCTTGATTCATGAATCTAAACATTTTCCCCCTCAGGATGGATGAGCCTGTTGGTAGATCTGATTTTGTGATTTAATTGCCTCTTCTAGAACCATGAGTTGGTACTAAGTTCCTCATCATTCCGGGCCAGGGAAAACCAAAGAAGTTTAGATTTCAAGCATTATTATAATGAAAGAATGTACCAGTAACTCTAACTGTTTGCTCTGTTATCAGAGCAACAGTGTTGATAGAATTCTTCTCAGATCTGTCTATCAGACTGAATGACTCTCACCAGACCCTGGTACACATTCCTTTCCCAGCCTCCCCCTCCTTAAACCTCACCAAGACCAACCTATGCAAGTATGGGGTGGCAGGAGGGTGCTAATGTCCTTTAAGACCTAGGTAGAGGTCTTTCTCTTTTCAAAAAATGGGTTTATTATGATACAATCCACACACTACACAACTTACCCATTTAATGTGTACAATTTAATGGTTTTTAGTCTATTCAGAGTTGTGCAACCACCACCATGATCGATTTTAGAACATTCTCATCATCCCAGAAAGAAACCCGATACTCCTTAGCCATCAACCTCTAATCCTTGTGTTGCCTCAAACCTAAGCAACTGGTAAACTTTCTGCCTCGAGAGATTTACTTTCTCAGTACTTTCTTATAAATGGAATCATACAGTATGTAGTGCTTTGTGACTGGCTTCTTTCACTTAGTATAATGATTTTTAGGTTCATCCACATTGCAGCATGTATTAGTACTGCATTTCTTTTTCATTGCTGAATGAAATGTTGTCCCATTTTATTTACCCAGTATCAGGAACTTGTCTGGTCTTCTTGGCTTGTCTCTCCTGGTACTGAACTTTCCCCCTACTAGTGAACTAGAGCAAAGGTGTTTGGGACCCTAATATTCTCAGCCTCCTGCACCTGCTGCAGGGCCTCTGACCTATAATTGGGGGCTAAGTCGAAGAAGAGAGTCCTCAGCTTCTCAGCTGCTCTCACCAGGGGTTCAGCCTCTTCAACTTGGAATTCAAAGGGGATGAGAAATGCTGGCAACCTATCCCTTTTGCTGAGATACAATAATACTTAATTGGGAGTTGAGAGGAAAGGAAGCCCTATCTTATTCGCCACACTTGCCCAGAATAAAGCCTCTGTCCAGTTGAGCCATAGCTCACTGCCACAGACTCTTGCTGTCCTTACTGAATTTTAGCAGATGTTCTTGAATGACTATTTCTTCATTTGGTATATGTTCTTAAGACAATCTCTAGACACTTAAAATGTTTTAAATATTCTTTAATAGTTGTTAAAAATAGTTTTTATTTGTAACTTAAAGTTTTCACTAATTTTGCTTGTTTTGATGGGGAGTAGGTCTGTGCAGCTCCTTACATTGCCATCCTGAAAGTAAAAATCAATGAGCTTATTTTCTTACCAGAATTAGTATTGACCCACCTGCCCTACCTTGCTAGTAGAGTTTTAGAGATGACAAGCTGTACTGTCAGGAATCTCACTCTGTACCGAACTGGTATAACCATATTATTATGTATTATTTCAAGTTAGTTTAAAGAACAGTGTTTTGACTGTACAGATGAACCTACCTAAACACAGAAACTATGAAGACATTATAGCTGCTCTCAGGACTACCATTATTTGTAATAATATTATCTTATTTTTAAATACATATATATTTGGTTAAAGAAACTAAACAATTGTATTAATATGTTTAGGAACAAAATGTTTGATATATAATAGATACAAGTACAAAAATTAAAGAATTAATAACCTCATAATCTTAAATTTGAATAGAAACTATCAGTATGATGTCCTGATTTATTTTTCCCTTTCTAATATATGCACTTTCTAGCTCTGCTAGAAAGGTCTAAAAGCAATGAAAACCCGAACACCCAGATCATGGTCTCTGAACACAAAGTGGGACAGGAAGTACACAAGATGGACATGGAACTCTATTAAAGCATGCTGCTGAAGACTATTGGGAATAGGTCAAAACCGAAAGGGGCTTCTACAGGCCAAAGATGGGACAGTTTGAACAATAATAAATATAATGAAGGTAAAGGATTTAAACACAAACATAAAATTCTATGTATTTCTAGTACAGTAGGGGAAAAAACCTAAATATTTCAATCATCTTTGATAGTTTCTAGGATGTTGTGATGCCCCACCCAGATTCCCTTTAAGAAAGAAAGACGGTCTCTGCTGAAGGGAGCTGCCTTGCCCAAGATTCTGGGAGTAGCCCACAACTAATGGCCATCTGACAAGATGGTATAAAGGCCTCGTCCCCTCATCCCAACTGGAGACAGTTCTGAAGTATCAAGCTACCTTTGAGAACTACCTGTAAGGGCATCTGAGGTCTCCACTGAGTCAGCAACAAAAACTCAACGTCTCTCTGCAGTCCTACTTCCTTCCTTTCCCTAAGAAACCTTTCATGTTAATTGCGAATATTGCCTGTTCTTTAACTTTAGATAATCATACAGATTATCTAAAATAATGTTCTCAACAAATCCAGTGGGCATATCCAGATTATGAAACTTTAATCATCATGGGTTAATCTGTCAGAAAGGCAACAAGTGATTAAAAGTACTCTGGTACCAGACATACTTAACACCAGGCATCTATGTGACCACAACAAGACCCTGTGATAATAAAGAAGTATTATAATTATTAACTAAACGTTTGTCTAAGCAGTTTTAAAATCATTCATAATACTAAAAGTGTCAGGTTGGTTTGGCAGTACAGTTGACCCTTAAACAGAGTATATGTAGATTTGTTTTCAATAAATACAGTACAATACTCCAAATGCATTTTCTCTTCCTTAAGATTTTCTTAGTAAGACTTTTTCTCTAGCTTTATTGTAAGGATACACTATATAATATTTATACAAAGTATGTGTTAATCAACTGTTGTGTTATTTGGTAAGCCTGGTCAACAGGAGGCTATTAGTTTAATTTTGGGGGAGTCAAAAGTTATATATGGATTTCTGACTGGGGAGAGGGGTTAGCATCCCTCACCCCCAACAGTTTAAGGGTCAACTATAGTATCTGCTTGATGGCTTAGGGCAGTTTCAAAAATTGTTTGGCATTAAGTTTGGGATTAAGCAATACACATGCATGCACAATTTCTCTGGAATACGGGGAGAGAATCAAATTATATCAACTAACGCATTTAAACTAGTGCTGATTTATCAGCTGCCTGGGTAATAAAAACAACAAATTTTCTTCACTTCTTATCTAAACATTGACTCGTGCAAATCTGAGGTGAACTGGGGAATGACCGCCTGAAATCTAAGATGCTTTTATGGAGATGCAGAATGTTATTTTTCCCGTGACTGAATCAAACGGTATAGACTGAAAGTTTATTAGTAGTGGTAAAACAATTTAGTTGGTCGAGACCAGCTTTAGAAAAAAAGATTGACAAAGATGCTATCAGAGTGCACTTTATTTACAAGCGTATTGTTTTATATGTATGCATATGCGTGTCGTTATGTGTGTTCTCAAAATAAAATACATTTCTTTGCATCAGGGTAAAATATGTTTGAAAGTCTCAAATTTTGCTCTAAAGCCGGTACAACAGAAAAGACTGTGGCCCTGAGTCACCAGTCTGCAACGGGGCTTCCCACTCGTACTTACAAAGGAGTCACTCACGACTAGCACCACGTTGGGAGCAACGGGCCAAGCCCGAGCATCTCCTCGCCTCTGCCCATCTGCCCTCGGGGCTGGTATGGCCAGCGCCGAGGCTGCGACCACGGACAACCAGAGCAGCATTGCTCAGAACGGTTCTGAGATGCAGTCCTGGGCGCACAACCTCCCTCCGGGAACTCCGTCCCGGGAGGAGCAGGGCGGGATTACAGAGACCGCAGGCTGCTTTCCTTCCAGTGCTTCACCCGCAGAACTACAGCTCCCAGAAGGCTCAGAGAGCTCACATCGCAAGGAGAAATTCCCAGCCTTTACTCGCGTTAAGACCTTTTAATCAAATACCGAGCGAACTAAAAATCCAGCCACGTTGGGTCACGTGAGCGATGCCTGGGGAAATGCGCATGCGCCCTGACTCCAGGTTTGGCGTTTGAAGGAAGAACATCTGTCTCAGGTGGGTTCGGAACACTCGCTTTTGCAGAAGTTGGAGCCGATATGCGGTTGAAATGGTACCTAGAGAGAGAAGGGATCGGGGCCGGGGTTTCTCATTTTGCGCTAAGCACGCGTGGCTGAGTTTTTGGGGAGATCGGGAACGGGGCGATGATGAGGTGGCGGCGCGCCTGTCACGTAAGTTGAATGGGGCGGCCCTTTGTGGGGCCTCTGGATAGACCGTTGCAATTTTGGATACCGTGGGGCCCTTCGAATACCTTTCCCCAAGAAAATTTCCAGCTTGCCTCTTATTGCCTCTCTTTGTCCGTGCAGTGAGGATTTACTGGGCTCCGGTGGGGTAACGAGCGGGGCCTAGTTAAGTTTCAGGTTCTAGGTGGGGAAAAGCTTTAGTCCACCTTGCCTTCAGAGTGCAAAGGAGAGAAACAGAACAGGCTCTCAGAGGAAGAAATGTTGGGTTCTATGACATGATCAGGATACCGTTGTGTTGCTGCAGATAAATCACGTCCATCCTGACTGTTGAACCTCTTTGGAGAAGTATGGACGAAGATTTCTGTCCTACAGCCAAGTTCTGATTTCATTATCATAGTTTCAGGTATATAATTTGCACATCACATTAGTCATTTTAATATTTTGACAGGAAAAGGAGGAGTTGAAGTACTTATTTAACATAAAATCAACTCAATTGTGATATCTGACAGTGCTTTTTAACATAAAATAATTGTAATAAGGAGCAGACCTTATTTATTTGATACTCAGTAGCACTTATTACATGGTGTGTATTAGATTAAGCATTTTTGAGCACCTGTGAGCCTAATATATTTACATGGAATATTTTCCATAATCCTGACTCTCACCATTTTATAGATAGGAAAACTGAGGTTTGGACAGATTAAATGAGTTGTCCAAGGTTACACAGGGAGCCAGTTCAAGTCCTTGAGTAGTTTGAGCCTTACTCACTGCAGTACCCTTCCTCTGTTTAATTTTGAAGTTTCATGGTATTCTACTAAGCTTCATCTCTATTAGTGAAGAATTCTTAATCTGGAAGGATGCTAAAGCCCCGTGGGAAGCATACAAATATATAAACAATATCCCTGTGCACAAGGAACTTAGACTTTGGGAAAACAAACATACATGAAATAGAAGTAAATAGCATGGAAGGTAATATAGGTAGGCTCCTTCATGATCAGGATGTTTCAAAAATGTTTGGAGTTAATTTGAAATTTAGAACACTTTACCATAGAAATGTTGAGTGACATGTAGATTAATAAAAAATATATTTAACTTTATATGTGGCATAGCACTGCTTTTGTGAACTGTATTTACTCTCTATCGCTTTGTTTTCACAGGGCATGAATTCTGAGTCACAGTCAGGATGACAGGAACACATCTTTTTCTTCTCCTCTCTTCCCCTTGACAGTGACAGTGGGAGCAGGTGCTGCAGTGGGTTAGACCAAGATCAATATTTTAGGGCCCCAGAGACATAGTGCTGGAAGAATCTAAGAGGCTTCTAGTCCTACTTCCCATTTGACATTCAGTTTGTCCTACAGCATTCCTGCCAAGTGGATTATCCAGTTTGTGCTTTTTCATCTCCAGTGATAGAAGCATACTTCCCTTTGAATAGCTAATTCCACATTTGTATGTCTAATTATTTAAAGTTCTTATTTTGAGCTGAAGTCAGTCTCCCTCTACTTGTAACTATTCATTAGTCTATTTCTCTCCACCTTTACATGCAATCTCTTCCTTTGAACAACCCTTTTACCTTCCCAACCCATTTTTCCCCCCCAGGACTTCCTTCAGCTAGTTATCATTTAATTTAAGGTTTCTTCATTATTTTGATCACTCTTTTTTGAACAGAAAACATTTTTGCCCATCAGTAACTCACCCTGTCAGAAAGGGTACTTCTGAGGTGTGTATGTGTGTGCATCTTCTGCGTGCATATGTACGTAACTGTGTGTTGCAGTGCGGCAGGTACTCTGTGTATGAGTAAGTCATCAGTTAAAGAAGATTCGTATGTTAGAGATTGCTTGTTTTTGTGAAATAACTGGTTCTCAAGGTCTTCAACTGAAAGTCTTGGTCTAGATTTTTATTCGTCATGGTTCCTTTAATGTCCAAAATACCAGCAGCACTGTTTTCTGCCTTAGGAAAAAGAAGCTCAGTGTGAGGTTACTATGTGGAATAAATTCAGTATTCACCTGCTGTGATTCTGTAAATATTTGTTGAATGTCTACAGTGTACCGGACATTGTAAGAAATAAGAGTATTAGAGATAGTCTTTGCTCCTAAGGAATTTCCACTCTATTATGGGAAATGGACAAGCACACACACACAAACCCATAAATTTAATAATAGTATAAAATGTTTCAAAAAGTACACTTAGTTGCCAGACAAAAATGAAAATATTCCAGGTTGTACTCTGGAGAATGCTAATGTGCTTTAAAAATGTTAATTGCTGTTCATTGAAATAAATGTTCTATAGTAACATAAATGTCAGAAATGCTGGGTCAAACTACTTTGTGGTCTTTAGGACTTCTCAGAGTCTTTAAAATGCTAATACATATTGGTACTTTAAAAGAGTGAAATGTATAATGTGCAGTATTTACACATTACTAGTATTAACGCCTCCAAGCATGTTAATATTCCTTGGAATACATTTTTGGAAATATTGGTATAGATTGAGAGTGTTCCAAGTGCAGACTAGTGTAGATTCGTCTTAGAAGGCTTATGCTTGACACTTGAATTTGGTCTTGAACTATGTATAGCATTTGACTGGACAGGATGAATGGGAGAAGCAAAGATGTAGACATGGAAAGCACTGGGGCATGGTGAAAGAAGCTAATGTGAGCTAATATTGAAAAAAGATCCTTTCTCATTTTAGCAAATTGAGAATCACTGCCTTTTGATAGTAGAGAAACTAAGTGTTTTTGAGTAGGCTTTGCAAGCTGGACGATCAACCATTTATTGAGTACATGTTATTTAATAGGTGTTGGGTATGTAAGAAATTTATGGACCTGAGAGACATGATGCATCTGTGTAGAACAATAAAAAACATGTTATGTTTGAATTGAATAGCTCAACTGATACATTTTTTGGTGGTTCAGAGGAGGGCATGGTTTCTGTTGCAGGTTTTACTCCTGTATTTGTGTAGTGACTAATTTGAGGGGGATACTTGGGCTTGATGATAGCCTTCTTTTGAAGAACATGGGCAAGAAGGTTGCTTAGAGTTCAAGGAAAGAGGTTGAAGGGGAGCTTTGGGATTTAAATGTGTAGAGCAAGTTTATGGTAACTACTGTGAGTTAGGAATAGGAAAAAAGTAGTGAAATGATTGAGAGGGTGGCAGTGGGTAAGGAGAACAGAACTAACACATGTTGTGTTCATTCACTCCATCCCATCTATATACAGATCAAGTGGTGTAATACTCACCTTGCCAGTGAGGAAATAGGCTTAGTGTAGTGAAGTAAGGTGCCCACATTCTGACGGGACTTGAACTCAGATACATCCGATTCCTGTGCACACTCTAAACAGGTTAAGTCTTGGCTTGGTGGGTGGATATGGCAAAATGAAAGAACTGACAAAATCTGGAGTATTTTGTAAGAACAGAGTTGAAGTAATTGAAAAATCATAATTAGGTTGGGTGTGGGGTAGTAGTCAAGTGTAGCTAAATGGGGGCTTAAAGAAGTTAGTGTAATGGGTGGAGTCAGGTTTTTACTTTTACTTTATTTTACCTCCCCTCCCTTCCCACCACATACACACATTAAAAAATTTTTGTTTTACTTTACTAAACATTGTATCACAATACTTTCTTCTTTTACTCATTTTTTGTAGAACTAATCATTCTATTTAAGTATTTGGCTAGTACAGTATATGTCCAGTAAACTCATCTTGCTTCACCTAAATTTTGTTCATTTCCTAGTTCTAAAGTAGCATGTTTGTTTGTTTTACCTTATTCAATTTTTCAGAGCTGCCTCCATTCTCTCCATGAAGCATTCTAGATTAATTTTGTTTGACAGAATCCATTCCAGAGATGCCACCAAAAGATACATAGAACTTGTAGTCATGCAGAATTTGTGTTTAATATTTCAGATGGATTTCTAACATCTAAAACAAGTTTCCTCTGTTTTCATTAGATTACAGACTAATCTAGTTATATGATGCGGGCAACTGTTTTGCATAGTTATAATCCTTTATATGGTTTAGAACAAGGTTCATATTGGTTTGGCTGCAAATTGAGGGTAAAGAAGTGCCCTTAATTGTCCTAGATTCAAAATGGGAGTAGTTCATATATTTTTTTTTGGCTTTTCTTTTTTTAAATTGACGCTAGTGTATTTTGAATTTATTGAGTATTTTTTCAGGATTTTTCTGATTGCTAATGTATCACCAGAGGCTATGTGAACATAGTTTAGGCCAGTTTAGAAATTTGGAGATTAAGATTTGTGTCTCTTTGGGAAAGAAAAAAGATGAAAAGTTGCACATAATTATTTCTCATGTTTCAAATTATGAACTAGGAAAATTGAACCTGAATGTGATGTGTCAAAAAATTCAGAAGTTTTGGATTGTCACCCTTTTTATGTGTCTAACTCTCTCATGTTTTACTTAATTTAGATGGAGAATGGTTAAGCAACAATCTGAAATTTAATCCAAAAAGAAGATAGAGTAATAATAATAGGTAAAATGCTAAATAATAGGTAAAGTCTGTTTTTGCTTAATGGTCGTTTTTACCAATTCCTTTCCAGAGGAAGTTTTAATAGTATAGGTTATTATGCCAGACTAAACACAAATACCTTTAGACTTTTGTTACTACATATAAAGGTTTCATTTTT